ATATTCCGTTAAATCTGAAGAGGATGGATATTCATTCTAAACCAACTTTTGAAAGGGATGTCCAATTATACCACCTATATATACCACCTATATTAATCCAAAGTCAGTTTGAGTCTCAACCCAATAAGATCCAAACCCATTTTAAAACTCTGTTCCTCTCAATGGAGACCGCGTCTTTCTCCTGAATCATTTATATTTGACCATCTCTTCCCCCTCATCCTCTCTCAAACCCTTCCAATCCCCAAAAGACCTTCATTTAATAGCCCTAAAAATGAAAAGTTCTCTAACATTACAGCAATCGCAAATCATTCCCAAACTTAGAAAGGGCCCAAACTAATCTCAAGAGGCAAAGCCATAGACACTAGCTTCTCAAAATTCTGAAATGGGGGAAGAACTTCACTAGGAAAGATTTAGGATTAGGGGCTGTTTGGTTCATTTCCTAGATATAGGGAAATACATTTCCATGTACAAAAACACAAGTTTTGAGTTTTTTAAACTTTTCCAAGAAATAGATTGTTTCGCTTTGGTTCGCAAAAAAAATGATGGGACACCAATGTATTTATTTTTATTGTGTTTGGTTCGCATGAAAAAAAAAGAAAACTTTTGTTTATATGACAAAAAGCTGATGTGTCTACAATTTTCGTCGATTTCACGAGATTGAGGAAGGAATTGGGGGAGAGAAAAAATCTGATGTGGCGGCGATTTTCACCGAGTTTCCCTTCTTCAACCCTTATATATATATATATATAGTATATATATATATATATATATATATATATTATATATATATATATATATATATATTATAATATCATTAAACAAATTGTATATACATATTAAAAAATAAAAATACTATATATAATTATATACTGGGCCGAGCTGGGCCGGGGCATCACCAAAGGCAGCACGGGCCCTGGTTAGGCCGGGTTGTCCGCCAAATGGACACCCCTAGTTATATCTAAACAATTTTACTAATATTTGAATCCATTGATATTAATTTAACTTCATTAAAACGCTAATGAAGGGAATATCCGTCTACTTCTCCATTTCCTTGATACCTTTCGTCGTTTGTATACTTATTATTTTTTTCCTTGAATGCTTGCATGGAGGCTAGTTGCAATGTGTCTGCTTTTCTTACAGACATGACAATGGACACGTAGGACTAAGGTTGAGATGGATTATAATTTTAACAACTCCAAACATGTTTACTTGCGATATTATACGTGTTGCACACTTGTCATATTTAAAAACGGATCAAATTTAGAATCCTTCCTACCATTTTTCTACTTAAACTAATATCTAAAGGTATTGGTTGAATAGGCAAGAGCTTTACATATCCATGCTATTCGTTTGAACATCCTTACTTTGTGTACCTATTCAAGGAGAGCATTATTCTGTGTGCACATTATTGCCATTTAATGGGCCATCTTTTTTTTATTAAAGTAAAGAAGGAATATCCTGGTCTATAGAGGCAATTCGGATTAACCCATCACGAGTGATCGACTGGTTGGAAGATTTTAATTATAACTTTCACGATTTTGGGCTCGAGCCCGAACTGGGTTTATCAAAAATTAAAAAAAAAGGATTTATCAAAATGAAATTATAATCTAGTTTCTAATAAGAAGAATTAGAGTATAATTTGGATCATGTCCACTACAGTGAATAGTGGGGAGACTACCGACTAAATTAAATCAATGGATATAAAAAGAATGGTGATCTCTCCACTACTGTTTGATAGTTGATTCATTACATTTTATCCATTTTATACTATTATGCTTTTACTTTTAATAAATACATTCTGCTAATAATATTTTTATTTTATCTAATATATAAGTAATAAAGAATTTACTGAATAAGAGTTCAAATTGAAGATTATTTCAAACCCAAAAGTCTCTAATGAAGCCTAGAATGCTAAAATCCAAAGCCTACAACAAAGTCTAGAAGCAAAATCCTCAGCAGTTATCACTTTCTAGGTCAGTAATTATTAATAGCTAGTCTATAATTGAAAGAATAATCAAATCTGGAAGAAACAAAGTTAAATTTGTGGCCGTGTGACGCCCCTTGGGTTCACACAAGGTTGCAGTCCGAGTAAAACCAGGAAATGTCAAAACCTGCCATGCACCCACAGGCAATAACATGTTTCACCATCACAATTTCTTATCTCTCTAGGTGGAATCAACAACATGTGTAGTACAAAGCAAGTAAAAGGTTATACCAGAATCAACTGGATGAAGATAATAAAGATTAAATTTATATCTTCACCATCTAAACATGTTGGAGTACATAATATATTGTCTGAAATAAATAAACTGAGTTCTCACAAGTCTCAAATCAAAATGTCTGACAAGAAGAAAATAGGCACACGGCCTTTACAACTTCTAGAGTAAAACTCTCAAATGTCTAAACAGAAGTCTACAGTGGAGTCAAAGGGGAATATAACTAAAATATATGGCTGAAGCTAAAGTGCATCGCGTCAAACCTGCGACTCTCGGGCTCCTGGCTCGTTACCTGAAAGGGGGAGGGACAACGAGCAGTCAAAGCGCTAGCGAGCAACATCACAACAAACCCCAAGGGATAGGGCTCTTTTATATTGAAAATACAAGAATACATAATATATATAAATCATTTACACAAACATTTATGGGGTTTTAGTACTTGGGGAAATACAACACGAGCATAGGTACGTCGGAGCGAAATAATCCAAACAAAGGAAACCCTCATGTATATACTTGTATCTCAAATCTGTAGATCCCTAAATATTAAACCGAGGTTGGTATAAGAAAATAAATAAAGAAAAGAATACAGTACTCATCTCCACCAATAAAGTGGAAAGGCATGACAAAAGCTACAATAGGTGTCATACAAACCTTGGCCAGCTATCATGTCCCAGCCTT